TGATCTCCTCTTCTGGATTTTCCTTATCCTCGGAGAGGTCACTTCTTCGGACAAGGTAGTTAGAGGGAATATTCCCCATGTGCCTTGCACATGGATTCTATCCTACATCATGTGGTGCTTATAAATAGCACCTACCCATAGCTTTACAAGGAATGGATTTTTGAGAGATATTTTTTGGGAAAGAACTAATTTCTCTTCTCCATTATCTACCTTGTGAGTAAAAGTGTGAGATCCATAAGAGAGCCTTACCATTATTCTCTCTCTAACTACTTTGCCTTCTTCTTCACCCAATCTCTTATTTCCATCATCTCTTTGCTATTGTGTTTCTAGTTGCGACCGTTGAAGAATTTAAGCCTCTCATCATTTCTAGAGAATTTGAGTTTTCTTCGAAGATCTTCGAATTCTCCGACAGCATTCTTGAACCCTCTCATACATTTTGGAGAGTTTTTATGGAGCATTGCTCAATGCAACCACTTTGACATTTTCATTATTCTCTCTCTAACTACTTTGTATTTTTCTTCACCCAATCTCTTATCTCCATCATCTCTTTGCTATTGTGTTTCTAGTTGCAACCGTTGAAGAATCTAAACCTCTCATCATTTCTAGAAAATTCGAGTTTTCTTCAAAGATCTTCAAATTCTTTGACAGCATTCTCGAACCCTTTCATACATTTTGGAGAGTTTTTGTGGAGCATTGCTCAATGCAACCACTTTGACATCTTCATTATGATTAGCAAGAAATTTGAAAAGTTCAAGAAAATTTCCTTGGTTACTTGAATTTTCAGATTCATCATGTCCACTAAACGCAAATCTTTGATTTAGAATAAATTTGACACAATCAACCGATGCATTCAAATGGGTTCAATACTCAGTTTGAGCTTGATCAGATTGTTTGAAAAAAATCATTTGAATATGTTGGTTTTGTTTTAACAAGTCTTGACATTTACTCGAAACTTGATTATGAGCACTATTGGAACCTCCAACATGAGTCGGAATTTTTTTTTTTTTTTTTCCAATTTGAGAAACCCTCACCAACAAAAGAATCACCACCAGCTTAATCTCCAATATCGAGTTTGAAAATGTGACAATATAAATAAAATGTTGTATCTTTTGCTATGATATTCTCTAACCAGTTAGGAAATTCACTAAACCAAGTTTGATTAAATCGCCGAAGTTTTTGTCCAAATGATTTTTCTGAAAATTTATGATCACGAGGTTGACAAGCACTTTTTTGTAGATATGTCCTACGAATTTGACCTCGATCATTAGCATTATAGTCCATAATCCGAGGCCGTAGTCCTGGATCTGCAGGAAGGTCTACTAAGTTGATTTCTATGTGACTTTGTTTTGTGAAAGAATAATTATCATCTTCTTCTTGAGGAAGAGATTATTTCAACTTTGATTTTCTTTTGAAATATTTCTCCATTTTTTTTTGGTGAATAAGTCATAAAATAAAAACAAAAACTTGCACAAAATACAAGGGGTGTGCCCCAGGCCCTAACAGAACTATACAATAACCAATAAAAATTGGAAAATATTTCTCCATGACTGTTTGAAAAAACTAAAAATCAAAATAAAATCAAAATCACAAACCCCTACAAATTAAAATCTCCTATTTTAATACAAATCAAAAAATTTAAACTTAGCACAAATCACAACAAATCAAAATTTCTAATTTTAGCACAAATTATAACAAATCAAAATCCCTAATTTAAATATTAATCACTGCAAATTAATATTTTTATTTTTAGCACAAATCAAATTCCTAATTTTAGCACAAACAATAACAAACCAAAATCCCTAATTTTAATATAAATCACCACCAATTAAGATTCATAATTTTAGCATATCAAAATCTCTTATTTTAACATAAGTAATAACAAATAAAAAAAATTTACAAATCAAAACTTAACAAATAATTATAAATTAATACTCATAATTTTTATTTAAAAGTAAAAAATAATAAATAAAGTTACTTGTAAACAATAAAGAGAAGATACCAAGGTTGTAGTGCAGTTCCAAATCTGTGTTGTGTGATCCTAATCTGGTGAATCGCAAGTCGGTAAATTGCAAAGCAACAGAGGGAGAAAGAAAACAAAGAAAATACGAAGATACTTAACAAGTACTGTAAATAAATAAATAAATAAAAAATAAAGAATTTCATATACTTTTAGGGTTTTAGGGTTAACCTTGCTGTAATTGGAGTTGTGTGCACTCGCCAAAAAAAAAAGTTGTGTGTTAGTGTTTGGTTGGGATTGGGTTCAAAGAAAAAAAAAAAAAACGTGGGTGCGTGTGGTGTGTCAGTGTGTTTGGGTAAATTGGAAAATTTGTGTATTATGTATAGGAGGGGCACTCTGTGTAAGCAAGACCCCACCAAAAAAAAAAAAAAAATTTTGAAAAGTCAGGGAGCACTTGGCCCCCTCGTCCCTATGTCCCTCCGCCACTGGATACAGAGCTTCTTTGAAGAAGATGAAGTTTGGGTTGGTCTCGGTTTGGAGAGATAGTGTGCCGAAATGGGTTTGGCAAAAAAGAGATATAAGGATTAGGGTTTGTCCTTTTTCTTTAAAAAAAAAAATATGACTGTGATTCTATGATCCCTTAGGTATTTTTGATGACATATATATATATATATATAGAAGGGGCCAAGCATTTTACGGTTTTTCAATTCCAAAAAAAGGAAAGCAGTAGGTTGTCACTTTTCTAGAAGGATAAATAAAAAACAAAAATGCTTGGGAGCTCTAATTAGAGCCACCACTAATGATGTGGCAGTGGGTCCTATCCACTGCCACAGTGTATGTTGTGTTCTTTTCTTTTTTTTTCAATTTTCACCTCACTAGTGGTGGATTTAGAGCTCCTTATTTAGAGCTCTAAATCATTGGGTCCTTGGATTTTGATCTCTTGATACAAAAAAGAAAAAGAAAAAAAAAGGGTTTAATTTCAATTTTCTTTGAGAGAATAAATCAAGGATACAAAAGTGTGTTTGCCAAACATGGCATAAAGATAAAAGGATTCTTTCTTATCTGTTTTAGTTGTCAACTTATCCATAAATTATGATAAGTCATCAATCTTATCCAAAAGTCACATGAGGACAAAATATTCAAGAGGGCGTGATGCGAAGCATGGCCAAAGAAATGGAAATATGCATGTCCGAGAAATTCAAAATTTCTCATACATGTAAGGGGCAAAATGTAAGAGGGGTTAACTTGGGCCTACTAAATTAATTAGGCCCAATTGAAGTTCAAAAATCAGCGTGCTTGGAGAAATTATTGCCAAATGGACCCAAGTGAATTTTATTGAACGGGCCTATAAGAAAGCTAACAAATTGGGCCGAAGAAGACTCATCAAGCAGATATCTCTAAAGAGAATCCAACAAGCCTATTTGAGGAGGCCCAGATCATACAGGCGTTCAAAAATGTTAACCATTGCTTTCAAAAGAGATGAAACCCCCAGAGGAGATCCATTCTTAGAGGTATTGGCTTAGTTTTGAAAGGATTCGCAACCACGAACTTAGAGACCTATTTGAGATCGGACTCGAAAGGGTTCAGATCCATGAACCTAGAGATCCAAAGCGCTTAGCTTTGAATGAATTCGAATGCAATCTAGAAGTCGCTCCGTTAATGAGTCCTAGAACACTTACCATGGGCGTGACGGAGTCTGAACAAAGGACCCAATCTCGAGGACAGTGAGTGGAGATAAATTCACTCTTCGGTTAAACTAGCCTATGCCCGGGTCGAGGTGGCACAATCTAGGGGGTCCTTAAGACTCGACAACATTTGCAGCAGGGTGTTCTCTTAAACTACCAATGCCCCTTCTGCGATAGGGCATCCTCTGGGACTACCCCTGACATTTTGGGATGATTAGGAATCATTGGCTAGGTGTGGCTAAGAAGAAGGGTTCACCGAGAGATTGATCTCTTCTTCGAGATTTTCCTCATCATCGGAGAGGTCGCTTCTTCGGACAAGGTAGTTAGAGGGAATATTTCTCATATGCCTTGCACATGGGCTCCATCCTACATCATGTGGTGTCTATAAATAGCACCCACTCATAACTTTACAAGGGATGGATTTTGGAGAGACATTTTATGATAAAGAACTAATTTTCCTTCTCCATTATCTACCTTGAGAGTGAAAGTTGGAGATCCATGGAAGAGCCTTGCCATTATTCTCTCTCTAACTACTTTGCGTTCTTCTTCATCCAATCTCTTATCTCCATCATCTCTTTGTTATTGTGTTTCTAGTTGTAACGGTTGAAGAATCTAAGTCTCTCATCATTTTTGGAGAATTTGAGTTTCCTTCAAAGATCTTCAAATTCTTTGACAGCATTCTTGAACCCTCTCATACAACAAGTCTCATCAATGCTAATCTCTAATCTCGTTCTTTAGTTCATAGATATGGGTCAAGCATTTTTATATCAAAATATTTTTCTTCTATTATTGCGAAATATTCATAATTATTAAATTATCAAAAATTTTGCGATGTATTAATCTTAAAACGTAATATAATAGATATTAACATTTTAAAACAGAATAACAAAAGATTTTAAGAATAAAAAATCTCATGACATCAATATTTGTCTAAAAAGTAAAGGAAAAACAAATCCTAAGACAAATAGCATTAATTTTGTTATATTACTCAAAAACTCGAACACACTAGCACCTTTTGAAACCAGAGTTGGACTTCTCAAATTTATATAAATTTGAGAGAATTAAAGGGGTTGTGGTGTTTACTATGAGTTCTATTTTAATAATTTTAATTGTTCATTTTATAAAATTTTTGTATATATTATTGATAAAAAAAATTAGATTGATCTGATAGTTATAATATTTTCATTTTATTGTATTTGTCTAAAAAAATAATGATATAAATTTTCAAAAATATAGTTATTATTTATTTTTTCGAAAGTAAACGTGATAAAATGAAAATATTATGATCATTATATCGAACTAATTCTTTTTTATAAAATAATATATATCTTAAAAACTTACAAAATAAACGATTATGATGATCAAAATACAACTTCTAATGAAGCCCACTAAAATTCTCCCCAATTTAAATTTGAACTTGACAAATTCAACCCTGGAAGGCATACTCACGTTGATTGTTCAAACATACAGAAACCAGGATTGACAATAGTGAACCCACCATCCACTATAAGATTATGCCCACTAACATACATGGAATCATCACTTCCCAAATAAAGAGCAGCTTGTGCAACATCCTCTGGCCTAAGTACAGCCCCTTTAAGGTTGGAGTAAACACCATAGACTCCCTCATCGTCCAGCTTGTAGAAATCTTTTGCCAACGGCGTCGCCACTAGGTACGGCGACACACAGTTCACTCGAATGCCGTGTTGGCCGAGCTCCACAGCTACATTTTTCGTCAGTCCTGCCACGCCGTGCTTCGAGCTTGTGTAAGCATGCGATGCAACTCCACCAATTGTGGAACAAACGCTGGCTGTTGTGATTATGGTCCCTCTTCGATTAGGTATCATCACCCTCGCTGCTTGTTTGGTTCCCAAGAAAGCACCTATTACAAACATATTCCATCGAACACGGGTTAAAATAGCAAGGAATTACTTATCACTAGAGCAGAGACAAAAGAATAAAAAATGAGTTAATTACTTAAAAGTTTTATTTATAAATGTTATGATAGTTCAGGTCTTATTTAAGATTTTTTGAATTAATAAATCTTATTTAGTAAAATTGATTATATTATTAGTTTTTTCTAATTTTTAAAATTAAAAAATTATCAATTTTGCGTAGTAATGTTCCAGATAATTGTTTCACTAATAGATAAAAAAAACAGAGTATGAGATTAAATATTTTTGCCCTTTTACTCATTGATTTGATTCAACTATCTAATAAAACTGAGAATATTATCAGTTTTTTCATTTTTAAAATTTTTTAATTTTTTTTTCAATTTTGCATATCAATGTTCCATCAATTTTTGCACATAATTTTTTATTTTTTCAATTTGAAAGTTGACTTTTAAAGTTTTGAAAATCAAAATAAATGTCAAATTATCATATTCTTTTATAGATAATCATAGATGATGAACAATCATTATTTGAATGACAATTTCGATTATTAAAAATTTAATGAAATTTGAAGGTCTAAAAAATGTTAGTTAAGACTTAATAGAGCATAAGTTTATAAATTAAAACTTATATGTAAATGTCCCTAAAAAGTATAAAGTGTGCAAGTGATTTTATAATGTGGTGCAAGTGAAAAGTTTTGTGTAATTTTTTTGTTGGCCAACTGATAAGTAATTTTCCCTTAAAAAAAATGGAAGGGTAAGTTATATTTTTCACAATTAAATTTTTTGAATTTTATTTGTTTTTTCATCAATAATTTAGTTACCGTTAAAAATTAAGATGAAAATTGCTCACAAAGATTTTAAGAATATTATAGAAGAAAAAAATTTGTATCATTTTTTAGCCTCTAACTTTCACTTAAATTTCAATTTAATCTCTCATATTTCAATTTTCACTCATATTCAAATGGTAGAATAATGAGAGGATTACATTAAAACACAAATCCAAATTTAAAAACTTCATTGTTATAATTAAAAATTAAGAAATCAAAAATTATAATTTACTCAAAATAAAAATAAAAATAAATCAAATATTATTTCTCACTATTAAAAAAAATTATTTGTTCTAAATTTAACCCTGTTGTTTAAAAAAATGAAACCATCCCACCCAAGTTTGGGAAGACTAAATAAGTATACTTTTTGACTTTTCTTGTATTATGTGTAGAAAAAGTAGAGATGAGATATTGATTGATGTGACCCAAAAAAGATAAAAAAATAAAATAAGTGCACTTTTTTAGTTTAGCCAAACTTGACCTTAATAACACTTGGCAATCAATTTTAAAATTATATTATTAATATTAATATACAAACAATAGATTTTTAAAAGAGATGATTACTAGCAATTCTTTATTAACTAGACTGCTTTAAGTGATTTTTTTTTTTTTTAATATATGTATTTGCTCCTTATTTTGATAATGTGTACATTTGGAGATTTTTTAAATATGTCGTTCGGTAACACTTACGTTTTTAATTTTCTGTTTATATTTACAAAAATTTTAAAAACTCAAATAAAAACTTGTTTGGTAAAATTTTTGATTTATAAATCAGTGGTCTCAGTTTATAAATTTGGCCAAAAAATGAAAACACAAAAAATGTGTTTCCATTTTGAGTTTTCAGTTTTTTTTTTACCACCCAAAACTAGCCACCACCCGTCACCATTTTCCACCACCGTCTTCCGTCACCACCACCCACCACCCACCCTCCACCACCCCCTGCCACCACTACTCACCACCCACATGCTACCACCAGCCACCACCCACCTGCCACCCACTCGTCACCACCACCCACCCCTCGCCGCCGCCACCACCACCACCACCACCACCACTCGCCACCACCCGCCACTACCATCCACCGCCAGCCACCCCCTACACGGTCTGTAATTTGCAACTTGCAGTGATCACCCGCTTGGAAAACTTTGAGGTTGTCTGATCTACATGCATTTGAGCTGCAGAAAGATGTGGCTTCTTAGCAAGATGTTGATGTTTGATTGGACACTTGAACTCAACTCTGATTTCTTCAGTTTTTTAACATCTTCTCTAATCCTCATCATAACTCGTCCAGCGCTCCAATTTAGAACGACCCCTTTTCAAGTCTTGCTCATTGGTAGTGGAGTTATCATCTTCTCTTTGTGTCCTCAAAAAATAACATTGCTTCAGGGTTTCTTGCTCATGATGCTTTGTAAATGCAGCAGATGATGATTTCAGTTGTCCAAGATCACAACAGTCAATTGAGTCTGCTGTCGGTGGCTTCATTCTTGTTTGCTCACTTGAGCTTTCCACTCTAACCTGAACAATATGAAAATGTCAGAAAGAATAGCTTCCAAAATAAATGAAACTAATATACAGATCTGCAAGATTTAATTCTACCAGCAATTTGTAAGGAGTCATGTTTGTCAAGCAATGTGAAAAATATGATGCAACCATAATTTCTCAATTCCAAGACTCCTATCACCTGAAAGCTGAAGATATGATAAGTATTGACTTGATAATGCATGATTTGTGTTTAATGGTCCAAAGATACGAAAAGCGATATACTAGACATTTCGCACTCAAGTTGAAGGGCATCTTAATTATATGGAAGGGGCATCGCATTTTTGGTGAATGGCAAGGGCTATCACCATTCTGCAGCTCAAATATTTCTTTTTACTAGAGGTGGGCACACACTACCATGTGTGAAATTTAAAATAATCATGGTAGTTATTTGAAGCCATTTATATTTTGAGGGAATTTAAAAAGTTAAGATCTAAGTAGTTACATGTCCCGGGGGTATTTTGGGAAAATCCAAAAACTGTGACGATCTACACCAACTCAAGAGTTGGCTTTATATAATAGAATAGATAGATGATAGAACTGAAACTGAAACCAACCACCAAAAAGCTTTCCATACATAATAGAACAGAAACTATAAAAGCTTTCCTTGCCCTAAACCATCAACTGTTATTTTATATGATAAGAAAATTATATGAATTATTAATTGAAATAAAATTTTAAAATTATTAAAAATTGTTAATTTAATTGATAATTTATTAATAAAATGAGCTATTTATTGTGAAATTAGAAACTTCAATTGACACGGAATGTAATTTTCAGAGTTATGGAAGGTAATTCATATTTTAAGTAAATTTTAGAGGTATATTTGTAATTTATTTATTTATTTATTTATTTTAAAGATTTTACACTATACTATAAACAAAAATTTGTGGAGCTATCACTGACCTACGAGGTTGACGCGGATGATTTTCTCGAACTCGTCCTTATCGTTATCGAGAATGTTGGGCTTCGCCAATCCGACTATCCCGGCGTTGTTGTACATTATGTCGAGCTTTCCGAACTGGGCAACGGCTGCGTCGACGGCGTTCATGACGTGGGTTTCATTAGTAACGTCGCAGTGAACGAAAGATACAGATTTTTCGTCCAAATCTTTGCAAACTGAGAGACCTAAATCGTCTTGAATGTCTGCAATCATCACTTTGGCACCATGCTTAGAGAAGAGTCTCGCAGTGCACTCTCCTATCCCACTTGCACCTCCTGTGATCAAAGCCACCTTTCCTTCCAGCCTGAAAGGGTGAACAATAAAGTTATTTTAATTGATTTTTTTAAATTTTTTTTAGCTATTTTAGACCAAATGAAAAGGTTGTATTTAGAATGACAGTTGTGTTTTTTTTTTTTATAATTAATTTGATGAATGTGGAGAAAAAAATTAAATAATTATAATTTGAATATGATATTTTATATTATTTTAACCTATTAGAAGTACTACAAACCCCATAACCCCCCCCTCCCCCCACACTTGAGAAAGAGACTCCAAAAATGGGTGACCCCATGACCCCCAATCATTTTGGAATTTTAAACATTAATCTTTAAATTATATTTTTTTTATTAACTATTTTAATAATAAAAAAAAACTCTCCAACCCAACTTCCCAAACATAGCCATAGGGTTAATTACATTTTTTGCCCCAATAGCTTGAGTTTTTGAGAATTGATTTTTTTAATAATTTTTAATAAAATGAGTGTAAAATTATAAAGAATAAATTGACTTTTTATATTTTGTTTTTTGATTTTATGATGTTTTTGGTTGGTTTCCAAACACCACCTCAAATTTCAGTTACGTCTTTATAGTTTTAAATTGTACAATTTAATTGTTACACTTTAAATTTAGTTTTAATTTGATCTTATCGTCTAAATTTTTGTTAATTTTATTTATGTGTACAACTTAAAAATTAATAAATATCTCAAAATTTTTAATTTTAACTTTCAATTTAGATGGTATAATCAAATTAAAACTATATTTGATTGTTCAATTTAAAAGTTTAAGACTAAAATAAAAATTTAAATCAAACTATAAAAGTAAAAGGTGTAATTAATTCCACAACGATCATGTTTGTTTTATTTTTCAATTTTTTTAAAAATATAAACTAATTTAATAAAAATAAATATCAAAAAATATATTTTAAAGTTTTTAAAAATAATTTTTAGTCTCCCAAAAAAAAAGCACCCAAAAATAAAGTTATATAAAAATGATAAATATTTTTTATTTTTTTATTTCTTTCACCAAATTAATTTTAATTTTTTTTAAAAAAAAAATTTGAAATACGTTTCTAAAAACTAAACCAAACATAGCCTATTTGGTGCAAAGTTTGAAAATATTAATTTTTTTTATTTGAAAAATTAAAAAAAATTGAAAATATTATTTTTTATTGTATATTTGGTTGGATTTTTTTTTTTAAAATTGTTTTGTTTAAAAATATTTTTTTATTTTTTAAAAATTACTATGACAATTTAATTTTTATTGAATTTTTTTTTTGTTGATTTTAAATAAATGGCCAAATGATTTGTCATTTTGGTATAAAAAATAATTTCTATATTTAAAAAATATCAAAAATAAATAAATAACAAATTTCACATAACAAGTGCCAATTGCCCAAAAAAAAAAAAAAAAAGAACACTGTTCTAGATAATCGGGAGGATGTCCAGTAGGATGATCAGGTAAACCCAATCTGCCCTTTTCAAAATTCAAAAACTCCCTGCCCTGCCAAACATGTTGTCAAATGAATTTTGAAATGTGGCCTTGAAATCAATTTTTGAAAACTTAAACCCAACAAAGTATTGAAACATAAGGGTAGAATCATGTTTCCAGAGTTAAACCAAACAGAGCCTTCGTAAGTTTTTAATTTTGTCAATTTAAATTTTGATCTTTTAATTTATTTTTAATCTAAATTATTTATCTATTTTTTAAAATAAAATTAACTAAAAATAAATATTTTAATCATTCAAAACTCATGATTTATTCATAATCCACAAAAAGGGTAAAAAAAATTGTGACGAATGCCTCTGTTTGTTTTTTTTTTAGATAGGAACGAATGCCTCTGTTTGGAAAGATGGGTTAAGATGGGCTTAGAATTATTTTAGTCACAAAAAGATAAAATAAATTTTTTAATCTGATAAGACAAAATATCACATCTAACTCATAATCATTATATTCTTTTTTTCAAAAAAAAGTCAAAAAAAATTTAAAAAATCTTTTCCAAACGAAACTTTTTAACTTCACACTAAAATAATCAAAAAAAATATCAAAAAAACCAACTCATTTTCCAACCCAACCCAATATGTGATTGAGATTTTCACCTTATAAAAGAACTAAAAGATCAAAAACTTAAATTAAATAGTCAAACTCCAAGCAACTGGCTTTATGTAAGACATGAAGTCAATTCTTTTACCTTCTAGCTGCGGCTGAGAGAATTGAGAAACTTGCCATTGTTGGCCGAGTTATTCTGAACTTGTTATCTTGGAATTAGATACACAGCCAAACAGAAGATCAGACCAACTCTCTATCTCTCTCTATTCAAACACAAACATTAATTCTTAGTATATATAACAACTGAAGATTACAAACAAACAAAGTGTTAGGTACATATCAAAATCAAATCAAATCAAATAAACGTGGGTGTCCACAGTTCTGCGAGTGCTCAATTATATGAATGGGGCAATGCTCATGATCATAACACATTTGTCGCACGTTTTTAAATCAGGCTGCTTATGGCAAACTTTTTTAAGTAATTGAAGGGTTGTTTGGGGATAAGTTAAATAAGTATATTTATTTGATAAGTATATTTATTTGGATTATATTATTTTTTATTTTTTTATACATCTTTTAATAAAAATTAAAAAACACACTAACGGCCGTTTGTTTTTCTCTTTCACCATTCGGAGTGGACTGTGATTGTGAATGATGAACAGTAAACATACCTCCGGTTTATTTTGACAAAGTCATAGTCTGAATGGATTATGAATCCCCATGTTTGTTTTCAGAGGTAGAATGGAGGATATTCATTGTGAGGGGATTGTTAATGAGAGGATTGATAATGAGGGTGTGCTTGTTTTGAAGGATTAGAAGGTGGGATTGGACTATTAGTCCCACCGGACTAATAGTCCAATGTTTGCTTCATTTTTTTACTCCGGACTAATAGTCCTCCCGGATTATTAGTCCCACAAATATAGGACTATCCTATCCCATGGGGAGGGTGGAATAGAAACCATGGGATTGGTATCCCATAGAATTATTTTGTGAAATGTTCATTTTACCCTTCATGCTATTACTAACAAATAATTAGAAAATGATAAAATAGTCTTTTGAACATTTATAAATTATTTTTTTAGTGTTGTTAATTTAAAATTATATATTAAATAAAAAAATTTAATTATAAATTATAAATTAAATTTAATTAAAAATAATAAATTATAAATTATGGCCCTATAAATTAAATTTTTTTAGTGTTGTTAAAAAATTAAATTTACATATTAAATAAAATTATTTTTTTAGTGTTGTTAATTTAAAATTATATATTAAATAAAAAATATAAATTATAAATTAAAATTTTATTTAAAAAATAATACTACAAGGTTAATGGCCTTATAAATTAATTTTTTTTAGTGTTGTTGAAAATTTAATTTATATATTAAATAAAATTATTTTTTTATTGTCGTTAGTTTAAAATTATATATTAAATAAAAAATATAAATTATAAATTATAAATTAAATTTAATTGAAAATAATAAATTAAAATAATTAAAATATTGTGCAAAAAATAAAATAAAACAAATTTTTATTTAATCTAGTTAAAAATAATTAAAATATTAAAACTATGTTTAATATTGCTATTACTTAATAAATAATTGAAAAGGATAAAATAGTCATTTGAGCATTTTTCCTTCTCCATAATATCCCAAACAAACATTGGATAACTAGAAATAGTCCAATCCAGACATCTAATCTCATGACTAAACAAACATGGGATACAAATTTAGTCCAACAAAATAGTCCCGGGACAATGTATTCTAGGACTAATAGTCCGATAGATTACAATCCCCCCTTATCCAGTCCGTCCAAACAAACGCACGCTGAAGGAATTAAGTAAAATTGTGTTTGTTTTGATAATAGTTGTTAGTGTAGGAATTGTTAAATTATTTTTATATAAAATAATAAAACAAATATAAAAAATTAAACATTTATATTTAAAAAAAAAAATCTAAATATATAAAAAATAAAAAAAATTCTAATCCCCTCACTATTTTTCTAATACCATCTCTACCTCCACCTTCTCCATCTCAATCTCCCTTCCAACCACCATTTATATCACCTCTTCCATTCTAATCCCCTCCCCAACTCTACAAACAAACACAATACTAAATAACCCCACCTCCATCATAATATCCTCCTATCTATTTAACCCCAAAACAAACGGGGCCTCAGATGAACGGATTAACAATCCCTTATGGGACTTAGGCCAAGTTTGGAAAGACTAAATAAGTGCACTTTTTGACTTTTTATGAAATATGGGTTAGGTTTGAGTTGGGTTTGAAGTGATGTGTTAGAGAGGTGATGTGACTTAAATAAGATGATGTGATTTAAATAGGATAGTAATTTTTTGACTTTTTGAATTTTTTAAGAGTTGCCAAACTTGGCCTTAGTATTGAAAAAAGAAGCTGTTGGAATTATAATGTAAATGACCATACTATCCACCACATCATCAAATAGAAAAATAAATCCCTCCTCCAAAATTTTAACCACACTCATAAACAATCAATAATTTTCAAAAATAAAAAAATACTACTGCTTTTAAAATTTTTAACAAATTTTCAAAATCACAAATATCAAAAAAAAAACAAAAACAAAAAAGATCAACAAATTCACGAACAGATTACAAATATCATCCAACAAGTTCTCAAAATCAACAAAATAATAAAAAAAAAAATCAACAAAATCACAACAAGATTACCAGGAGAGGATTGATCCAGCACTCTCGTCTTCATCAAGTTCGCCTCACCTTGAATTTGAAGGTCAACATCGTTATTGACGAATATAAAGGTTGATTTCGTCGCTGATAGAGCTCCAATCAACTTCAACATGTGGTTGTCAACTTCAACATGTGGTTGTCAATGGTAAAGCTTGTGCACGAGAGAGACATGTGAGGTAGAAAAAGAGAGAGACGAGAGAGACATGTGAGCAAGAGAGAGAGAAGAGAGAGACATGTGAGGATAAACCTTTTTCAAAACCATGGGCCGGTTTTAAAGAAACCATTGGTCGTTTTTTTTTTATAATAATAATAAATAGATTAATAGTTAAATTCTTTATTATTTTCAATTATGTAATTTTAATTTTAGTTTTTGAATAGTTTAATTGGATAATGCATTTATTAGTTGGTATAAGTTTAAATTTGATACTAATACAATAAGGGTATTTATGTAATTTTATATGGTTAATTTCACTCCTATCTCTCAAAATAAACATGAACTATTACTAGTCCATTGGTTATCAAACAAACACAATTTTTCTTAATCTCTTCACTAATAGTTCCCTCACTAATAGTCCCCTCAATAATAATCCCTTCCATTCTATTTCTAAAAACAATCGGACCCTAAATAAGCAAATCCCAAACAACCCCTTAATTAATCACGAAAATTTCTCTGTTTATTTCCCATGCTTTCATATAAAAAAATAATCACTTTGTTTATATTTGAATTTTCAAATATAACTTTTAATGTTTTTAGTTTTTGTGTTTTATTATTTTTGATAATTTTTTTTTAGATGTACCTAACCTAAATACACCTAAAAAATAAAATATTTGTCAAGAAATTTTTAAAAAATACAAATATGCACTAAATTTTTATTTTTATTTTTGTTTTGTAATTTTTTTATAATTTTTTTCACAAATATTTTACTTTTAAGTACATCTAAGTCAAGTAAATCTAAAAAATATAAAATTTGATTAAAATATTAAAAAAAATTACTAAAAAAGATGGAAAAACTTACTGATCAAACTTGTGTTATTTTACTCCCCAGGAAACTACTAATTTGAACAATTATTCTAAAAATTAATTGACATTAGTTCACTATATTTCAAATTATTAACAAATTCAACATTTTTGATGGAACATCACACAAGCTAGTGAATATACCGATTCACTTTGTCCTATAACAAAAAGAAAGATAAGGAAACAAATATCAAGACACTGTGCAACATGCATTAAAACACAATCACTTGTTTTGAAAACAACCGATGAAGTACAAAATGCAACCAATTGTATTGTAGCAAAACTGTCTTTGAATACATTTTAAGGTCGATAAAGATGAAGAAAAGAAAAATCTTTTTCTTTGCCTTTTCTAAAAAGCAAAAATCAACAATGGATTATCACACCTAGTCAACAAAGATCAATTTTGCAATTTTTTGTTCATTTTTCTTTTACTTTTCAAGTGCAAGAGAAGAAATAAGAGGAAAATGACTGAGGAAACGTGTACCCTCCATTAATTCTACCTAATAATTACAAACGATGATTTGATAAAAAAAAATAAAAATAAAAGAAGAAGAAAAAAGGAAGGAAACCCAAAGATTTCACCTTAAATCTGTAAAATGTGCAAAAAGAAAACAGTACTCTACTATTGACCTTGATTCCCCTACATCACAAGAAGAAAGCATTTGTAAACTTTTGGACTTGCCATGGTACTCCCAACAAAGACACAAACAGAAACAGCAAGGTCAGTATGATCAAGACAATGACTACAGATATGGAGTGTCGATTCAGTCTCTGATCTGAAAGTATGCCCATCAAACATTTTGGCTTCTGCTCTAAGTTTAGATGTTTGGATCCCTCAATCGAATAATTCTTACTGTTTGCTTCAACCTCAGCAGCATGGCAAATTTTTTGTTTTTCCGACCACCTCATTCTGATTCTTCGGTTTGCTGTGCCCTGGAAAGGAATCACACAAAACGGGATTGTTTGTACCAACTGTTGAGACCTTGTCTCATCCTCCAACTTGTCAGCAACCATTGTCATGGGATCAGAAATTCGAGGGAAAATATTTTCAAGATCGACGATATCATCTTTTAGTATGTCAGCATAATAATCTTCTTCGTCGCAACCCTGCAATTTAAGAATAAAGATACTAAAATTCCCTTGCTAGTCAAGCAATTAAAAACTATCCTACATGGACTACTCTACTTCCTCCAAACTACCTGTGTCCATGGGATATCACAGGAGTAATGATGTGGGATATGTGTGTGACAACCGTGCCCAATTTAGACATGATCCTCTAACTTTTTGCGGTGTTTGAAGAATAAGAAATTCAAATTTGCTAGTAAACAAACATGTTTAGCTCTAACATAGACGAGAGATGGAAATTCTATATTTTATTTAATTTCAATTACAATTGTAGATAATTCACATCTTAATGTTATACAAATATGCAATATATGTGTGTTCATGATAAATCCCCATCCTCATATCCAACTTTTGGGTCCCAAAATCTTTAGATTTAGCTTTTTGATGATTGGACAAACACCTGCACCCGATACTTACCCGAGTCTATGCAACAAAGTTTAAAAGTCGAGATCAAATATGCACTTAACCATTTGGACAAAAACAGAAAGCCATATATATGAGAAATTAAGGGGAGTCCCTTCAACTAGGAAATTATAAGTTCCCAATAAACTAATATCTTAAAATTGCAATAGCAATCTAAATATGTCTAAAAAGAACAACAAAGAAAATAAGCAGAAAAAGCAAACAAACCTGATGACCTGGCTGAGAGAACTGACACTTCAGTGTCTTATCAGATTCAGATCCATAATCAATCTGTTGTTCTGCTGAATGACAACTACCAGGGTTGCTACACTCCTTTGAACTACATTTGACTGGCTTGGCTGCTTCCAATATGCCTAATTGTTCAACACCAGCTTCAGATAAACTAAAATTACTATTATTCTCTGTTGGTAAATGCCTTCGACTCAAAGAACCCTGTTTTGGACTATCACTTAATCTAAACTCACTGCTCTTTCGAAGGCGACAAACAACCAAAGAATCCTACAAATACACGAGGCCAGACTTAAATAAGATTTTCTCATTACAAATTTTAAGCAAGTGAAAACATGTTGAGAAGGAAACAATGCCAGCAAATTATACTCACATTTCACAAGAAAACATTAAAAATTACATTTGCAATAGATGAAGTAGATTACCACATATGGTTTCAACAAGATGAGGCCAAGAAGAATAAATAAACATGAAATATCGATCACAGAAAATAACTCAACGTTCAAAGAAATGAAAATTGAAAATAGAGATCAGGAGTGACCAACTACATGGGAAGCATGTCTATCCATAAGCATCTTGTACATCAATCAACATATATGCTCAAATTATGATTCTTGATGCAATGCCATTTTGATCATCTTCTCATGCATAAACACTCTGTTGGATGCTATTGCATAAATGAGAATCAACCAAGCTAAATCAAGTAGAAAGAAGCAATACGATATTTGACTCAAAGTGAGAACTTATGCATCTCTAGATATATCTATCTTGTTTGTATCATGTATCTCAAAATGAAGCTTCTTAGTCAATGGGGCTTTCAGCTGGATACACATCCTCTCCATTGCATGAAATGTCATCTAGCTTCAGTATGTAAAATGTGCGATGTATATAAAATTTAACTCATAGTTTCGATGCCAAAAATAAGAAACAATTAAATAAGTAAATAACAAACATAAACCATTTTCTCCAAGTAACATCTTTTAAAATGTCATTGCAAAGGGAGTCATGCGTATGAATACTTATGTGCCTGTTAGAGAAAAGTTATGGATGAAAAGATCAAATTGTAGGTTCCGCTTGTTTTCATCTAAAAGGAAGCCCATTTTGTTCTGATCCACCAAATGTTTCAATAATTTTCTTTTACGTAATTTCTTTCAAGTGTGATGAGAAAGATGAGATATATAAAGAAATTATGAAGAGAAATAACAAATTCCATTCAAGTGTGATGAGAAAATAGACTTCCACCTAGATTCTTCAGACTTTGGGGCTGAACATTTTAATTATTAATGTGAAGCAATTTGTAAATTTATTGTTCCAAACCAGTTCTTCATCAAATTTTGTGTGGCACGTGGAACTCCAAATATAAGGAAGTCCCATTCAACTAACATGTGGTCATCCAAGTTGCTAGCTAACTATTAGATGAAGGACAATTTTGAGAAATATTGAACGATAGAGAGCTTGTAATCATAACATCAGTACAAGTGTTCTTGGAGTAGGTATCGTGTTCATACGACAAGCTTTCCAAATGACCGTATCGCATAAAACAATTCAAGTCGGATACATCTATCAGAATAATCAATATTGTCAAAAGTATAACACTAATCACCTGAGACATTCCGCTCATACAATACTCGTGCATTATCCATTCTGTCCTCTCCCCTTTTGGTGCACGGCCCGTGTGGAACACCAGAGTCCTTTTTGTGCCAATCACATTAGGACCTGACTTAACATTTCGTTCTTTCCCGGTAGCTTTCCAATAGCCCAATTCAGTTGCCCTCTTACTCTGTAAGCCATTTGGGTACTTCCTTCCACGAGGAGAAAAGAAGAACCACTCATTATCTGATTGAATGACAGATTTGGCTGGCAATGTATGAAAATCACTAATCAATCTTTATACCAAATACAAGTCAGAATAATTTATTATAAAATACACAAAAATGCATTTAAGCATGTGAACAAAAAAATAGGTACGAACAATGGCACTTGATATTGATACCCATAAAAAAATGAGAATAAGATATATAACTAGAAGCCCAGATAGGTTTATATCACAGTTCTCTTCCAAACGAAAAAGTCCTTTCTTTTTGCAAATAGAGACGCAACATTCAAGAAATTTGAAGGGAAACTTCTAGGATACATTTCCCAGTCATTTTAGAAACTCTAGTACAATAAAAAAACTAAGAACTATTGAAACATATAGTGAAAACTACATAAAACCAAGCCATAATTTCTATAATTTTATAACTCTCAAATATAATTTTTCAACAATAACATAATTAGTCTAAGAAGAGTCTGTGGCTGGCTTAGCCCAGTGGTAAGGTTTGCCATAATCATCATTGCAAAAGTGGTTGTAAGGCTGAACACATCTTGCCCTCCTGGATTCCATTTCAGCATGAGCCTCATGCACTAGATTACCCTTTTATTAGTATTTTAATTGATCATGAAAATATTTTGTTATTTTCAAGGTTTTGAATCAGAAGAGAAGTACCAAATTATAATAGATAACCAAATGTAGCAAGTGAACAAAGTGTTGTGAAAGAGGCATATCAACTGATAGTGGAAGAAAATTTTAAAATTTAAATTAAGTGTAAATTATACGACCCAGATTTCACTTTGATAATGTTATTTCAAATTGAACAATTTGGTTCTACACTTTTAAGGTTAATTTTAATTTGGTTCATTCCATCTAAATTTCTGTTATTATTTTTTCATTTTTTTTAAGGTGTGCACTTCAAGAGAATTTGACAAGTGTCCCAAATTCATTAATTTAAGGATAAATTACAAATACACCCTCTTAAGGTTTGCTTAAAACATAGATTGCTATTGTGGTTTGAAAAAATTACAAACACCCTATTGCCAGAATTTTTTATTTAACGGAATTAACAAAAAAAAAATGAAATTTCTAAATGCTCCAATATACAATAATAAAATTACTTGAATTATTAATTAAAATATATTTCTAACATCAGTAAATAATATTAATTGGCTTGATGATTTATTAATAAAAATGGCCATTTGTTATGAAATTAGAACTTCAAGGATGGGATGTAATTTTCAGAAGCATAATTTGTATTTTAAGTAAAAATCAATGGAACGATCAAATTGAAACTAAAGTTAAACCAAATTATTAAAATTGAAATAATAATGACTAAAAGTGTAATTACAAGGCGTTTATTTCAAATTTTTATGACATGTAATCTCTTCATGCATTCCATTCCAACTAGAGAATTTTACTCGACATTTCAGATCGTATATTGCCTATCATTCAAAACAGCAGCGATCAAAACAAAAAACTTGAGCCATTAAACACAGAGCATCAGTCACTTGCAAAATTTCCACTCGCATCGTCAATATACAATTCAATAATCGAACGAAGAAAGCAATTATACTGAGAGAAGCTACAAGAAACAATAACAATGATGATTAGTAACTATACCATACTATGCAACGTGAAATTAAACAAATCTGTCTAACCTGGTAAGTCCCAGGGCTCGTGTTTACAGATTTCAACCTCTGAAATCACTTCAGCGCACTTGTCAAAGTCTCGGAGCTTCTTCTTCAGGTAATACGATATCAATTCTTGGTCTGTCGGCGAGAACCGAAACCCTGGAAACATCGACGAAGCCGCAATTGATATCTGAGCCTCTCTCGACGCCTCACCCATCATCATCTCTACATTAACACATCAATCTCTCTCCCTCTCCCTCCCTCCCTATTAAATTCTTTCTTTATTCTCTCTCTAACTTTCTCTCTCCTCTTTCGGTCGCTTTAGCTGGAAAGGTGTACACGGGGCATCTGAATTTTTTTTTAATTTTCTTTTTAACTTAATATTATATTTGATTAAAAAATTTAAAAAGAAATTTAAAAATATAAATAAAATGTGAATAAAATATATTTATATTTCATTTAATTTTGAAGAAAGGTTTTTGAAAATTTAGATCAATGGTCAGAGATACATTTAGTTCCCACTCGTTCTCTTCAGCTCCCTCTCTCCCACGTTCTTTGTCACATTGCCTCTCATCACCACAACCATTGAAGACCCTTCGAACCCTTCGATACCCACCCTCCCTCTTCGCTACTCTACTCCTCCTTCCCTTACAACCCTTCCAACTCGGCTCCCTTCGCTGTCCATGCTACCGACGCTGCTCTCGCAAGGTAAGATTGAGCCTTTTCACTCGATTTCTGCCTCTCCCCTTCTCTCTCTGCTTTTCTTTTTGACTAATTTCCCTTACTGCCATTTGGCTTGCTGCAGTTCCAACTCCACTCTCTCTGTTCTTCGGGTTTGATTGGTGTGATTTATTTTTTAGCCTTCTCTCTCTGTTCTTTTCCTTCATTTCATGAATACATAGCAAGGAGATCGTAATTACAGGCTTCACTGGTGTGATTTAAAGTTTTGTTTATTAATTACATGTTTTGTGTTGAATTTTACAGATTGATTTGTGTTTGTTTTTAAGTACCATGTTTTCATGAATTTCAGGTTTGGGGGTATTTATAGATGTTATAAATATGGTTAGATTTCTCAAGTTTACTTCTAATCGATGGATTTCAGATGGATTTCAGATTTGGTATTTATAGATGGATTTCATATTTCGCAAGTTATAAATATGGTATTTATAGATGGATTTCCGATTTGTGGGTATTTGTGGGTATTTATAGACGTTATAAATATGGTTAAATATTTACAGAATCTGTTGGTTTCAGATTCTAAGAATTTTTTAAACTGAAATGGAGTACTTAGGTTTTTAAACTACTTTCATGTTGTTGCTCTATAAAATATTCTCACTCTCTCTATGGGAGCTTGCATTTTAAGATTAGTATCCAGAGTTTGGTAATGAGGTGCGGTGTTGAAGAGAATGAAAGAGTAGAGAAAAAATGTTGATTTTTGTAGCACCTAATTTTTTTTGCTTTGTTGAAGAGAATGAAAGAGTAGAGAAAAAATTTAAAGCTGAATTTTGATGGTTGCTGCAACTGCTGAATAAGATGTTTTACCAAAGGTCCTTCACCATGCTGTTTTGTTTCAAAACAAAAACAGCACAAATTGAATCTCATAACAATAGTGCATTGTCCAAGTTTTGTACCAATATAAAAACCTCAAACATTAAATGTCAATTCGCAATGAAAGGCATTATTTATCAACCAAAAAAAAAATCACACAAAGGCATTATTGTTGTTTCTGATGCATTCTAATTCTAAACACTTATGAGTTTGCTACTTTTGAAATACTGATATGAAGTTTTTCTATATTTATTGGGTTTTTTTGTGGTTTTCTATTGTTTTTTCTTTCTTTCTTTGGGAGTGAGGATTGGTAAGCTGTGATAAATTTTGTTTTTGTTGTGGCAAGGGGTTGGTTGGATATTTTGTTTATAGTCATGTATTGCTTAACAAATATTCCAATTTTATTTAGAATTTTCAGAAGTATTCATAATTTCCAGTTCAAGCTTGGAAGCAAAATGAATCTGAATGGGTGATTTGGGTTTTTGGACAAAGTAAATGGGGGTTTTGGGGCTCTATTGATTTGTAAATCATGGGGGAATTAAGTTAGTTAGAGTTTGTTGTTGAATTGCCAAGCAAAGAGTTTGCTTTTTGAATTTAATCACATAATGTAATGAAATCTCTTCTTTGTATACCAAAGACCTTTGGAACACTTACTTCTTAAATTTTCCCTCTAACATTATGTGATCAATTAAGGAAAGTTACAAAAAGTAAGAGTTGAAAAAAATAAAACCCAAAGAAAATATTGATTGATTTTTGTAACTTAATGTTTTTATCAGTCATTAATTTGTATCTGTGTTGACAATGTGTTGTGTTTTTTGGTAGTGTTTGCATTGGGTAATCTATTATTATTGTGCAACATTGTTTGTGTTTAGATTGAATTGGGTGGTCTATGAAAAACCTTTTAATAGTGTGACAATGCGTGTGTTTGTTTTGAATTGGGTAGTCTCTTTTAATTATCATATTGGCTCTTTTCTGTATTTTACAGGTGAATGAAGTCTAGAAGCGAATGGTAATATCGGCTACCTTTTATAGGTTTACATTTTTTTAAGGTTAAGTTTTTCTTATCTCTCTAATGATTTTGTATTTATTGTTCTGGGAGTTACAATATTAAACTAAACGTGCACTTCTTTGATAGATGAGTGTTGAAAGAGTGGCAATCTTGAGTGTGCAACAATTTGTGCATACTTCGTTCAATTTGTTTGAAAAGATATGACAATTTGTTTCATCTTTATCCTAAATGGCATCCAAAGCGGTAAACTCACATGAATTTTATAAAGTTTTATGTTCCACAGTTATCTTAGTAGTGAAAATGGATTTTTTTTAAATATATATTTTTGGAAAGGTGACACTTTTGCGAAGTAAATTTTAAATTTTCTACTTTTTTCCACGGTATGTACTATGAAAATATGTCATATTCCTAAATACTCTCCTATTTCGACTTTATGTTCCTAAATAATTTTTTGAAATATGTCACGTTCCTAATTACTTTTGCTTTTTTGATATTCTTCCTTATTCATGCTAAATACTCTACCACTGTTGGTTGGATATGAATCTATAGGAATTGGATGAGATGAAGAAGCTTTTGAAAGAGTCAGGGGTTGTTCATTGATAGAAGGAAACAAACCAATGGCACCCTTGAACTCTCCAATTAAGGTAATCTCTTCAAACTTCTATGTTGTATGATTTATTTTTTATTTTTTATAGAGAAAAGATTCAACCATTTAAGTTGTTTATATGGGAGTGCCTTTAGGCATGAGTGATATGCTAGCAATTCATATTAGACATTTTTTTTTTCTCTGAATAACATTCCTTTAATTCGTTTGATTTGATTTGATTTTTTTATTATTTATTTCATATATAGTTACTAAAATGACTATTGGACCATTTGAAAGTCCTTTTATTATAGTTATTTTTTAATGCAACAATTTCAATTTTAAAATTGTCGTAGTTGATGTAATTAATGACTTCCAAATTAATCATCTGTGTAATTACTCTTATTTAAAGTACTTTTTCATTTACATGATTAGTTTAGTCACATTAGGACATTATATGAATGCAATGATTTTGTAAATTCAATGGACTCTTAACAGAATTATAGAATTAATGAGTTAATTTTTTTAAAGCTATAAAGCTGAGTTCGAGTTTTTATTTACTAAGATTCAAATTCATGGTCAAATGCATGGCTTCTTTGTGTTAATGATTAGGATTTGAATTTTTCAATTAATTGATTTTGAAATTAATATCTTAATTGGTTTGAATTTGTAGTGTCACACTTTTCAAACTTTCATTAGCAAAAGTCTTCTTATTTTTTTAGAATTTCTTATTGGTTGTTGAAAATTTCATCATGCTATTTGAGTCAATTAGAATGTTTCAAATTTTAAGCAATTTGTTAAGCTTTATATATTCCAAACCTTCTATCTTTAAAGCTTCGTCTTAAGTATTCCGATTTTCATCTAGACACTTCTTATAAATGATTTGGTAATTGTTTTGAAATGTAGGAGAGCTTAGGCATCATTAGTTTTACAGTTACTTTTGTCACAACTGATTTCTGCCCTTTTGCTGATGAAGAAACTTATCTTGATTTGTCATTTTCAAGTGTATGTAATTATGCATTTCATTTTCAAGTGTAAATCTGAAACTTTGTCATGTGTATATGTGAAAGTAATTTGTGACTATACTAATACACTTTCTAAAAGATGATTCTTTACTTATAAAGCATCTTTTGACTATGTGTAGTAGTGTAAGCACATGCATTGCACGTCAATAAGTTTATATTGGTGCAAAGCTAGAGAGTTCGAGTTTAGAATTTACACTATTTTTGGTTTTATTGTTGACAAACTTTGAAAATGATTGACGTTATATAAAGTTAATAAGTTTATATTGGTGCAAAGCTATAGAGTTCGAGTGTAGAATTTACACTATTTTTGGTTTTATTGTTGACAACCTTAGAAAATGATTGACGTTATATAAAGTTAAAGATTATTTAAAGGCAGATTGATGTTGTGTAAACTTATATAGGTTTGGTTTGGTGTGGGTGTTTGCTATGTGGATTTTGATCAAAAACACCATTTTCGTGTTGGCATGGGGTGTTCCAAAGGGAGAACACCATTTTGTTGTTCCTCTTATTTTGAAGTTGTGTCTATAATAAAGGAGATTATCTTGCTCAAATGCATACTATCTATTAGGTATACTTGATTCTCAATGTTCTTAACTTAAGAGAGAATAATAAATGAAAATTATTAAATCGAAAGGGCATACACTAGTGACAATTGTCCTACTAGGACATTTTAATGGTTACGATTCATTTGTCTATTTAGATAGATAGCTGAGATCGCTTAAATATATATCAATCCTAATTATATGCATTTACTTCCCGTCCAAAGAGTAAGCTGCTTACCCACGTCTCCCCTCTATTCTACCTTTTATCTCTCTCCCTTCTCTCTTCTCACCTTCCCACTTACCCAAGATATATGCATTGCTGAATTTGATCTAGGGCTTTCGAAACAATGATCTTCAAGGCGTCGTCTAGGTAATATCACTGGCACGGGCATACACTAGCGACAATTGTCCTACTAGGACGTTTTAATGGTTATGATTCATTTGTCTACTTAGATAGATGGCTGAGATCGCTTAAATATATATCAATCCTAATTATATACATTTACTTCCCGCCCAAAGAGTAAGTTGCTTACCCACGTCTCCCCTCTATTCTACCTTTTATCTCTCTCCCTTCTCTCTTCTCACCTTCCCACTTACCCACGATATATG